GGTCACCATGTGAGGTGCACAAAATGTGACTATGCCGGGCTTCCCGGCTTCACCCCACTTCTCATCACTTCTTCGGGGAAGGAAAGAATGACACGGTTGCTCCTTCCAGTTGGAAAATGGTCCTGAATATCACCCCGAAAAGGGACAGGGCTTATGCATTCATTCAGCAAATATTTGACACCTCGCATGTGCTAGGCACTGTAGTGAACAGAACCAGGCGCCGTCTCTCCTTCGTGGAGCCAGAACTCATCAGTGACCCTGGGTGAGTGTGGGGAGGGGGCTGCAGCCTTCATCTGCATCCTCTCCTACATTTCTCTGGAATTCATCTTCCCCTGCATCCCAACTACCATTAATTTAGTTAAAGACCTTGTCATTTTTATCTTTTTTTTTTAACCTAGAAAATCCCAAACAGCCACCTGACAGGTCTTCCTTCTCTCAGGCTCATCTTCAAAACAGCTTCTGCCCTCCTACAAACACATGTTCAATTATGCACATCTGCTGAATTATCCATTTGGTCCCTGTTAGCACTCTTACTAAACTAAAGGGGTTTGTTCTCCCATGTGCCTCAGAGCCCAATCAAATGCAAAAAGGAGTTTGCAGCAAAGAAAATAAAGGTTTATTATTTAAAGAAATGGTGTCAAACTGAAACCATTGCTCTAAGACAGCCGTGGGCAAACTACGGCCCGTGGGCCGGGAATAAAACTAAAAAAAAAAGAGACCGTACCCTTTTATATAATGATGTTTACTTTGAATTTATATTAGTTCACACAAACACTCCATCCATGCTTTTGTTCCGGCCCTCCCGGTCCAGTTTAAGAACCCATTGTGGCCCTCCAGTCAAAAAGTTTGCCCACCCCTACTCTAAAACCTAGTTCCCCGAGGCTTCCAGGGGATGCTTGTATAAGGGACAGTCATTAATCATGGCAGAGGTAAGGTCATGGTCTCTACTGATGGGTCAGCTCTAGGGTAGGGGTTGCTGACCATTGCCTCTGGTCCTGATGTCAGCCATGGTGTCGCTCTGTCTGGTTTCACACCGGTGTGGTTGGTGGGGCCATCCTGCTTTTCTAGATCTGGACCTGAAACACAACTGAGGCCTAGATGTTATCTTTAGTTTAACTAAAACTTTGTGTCTGTGGTCAACAGACTGGAGGCTTTGTTCCTAAGACTAGTTGATGGGGTCAGAACCTCATTGTCCTGAGGGCTTTATGATTAAGGGAGTGGTCGTGCAAGTCAGGGTGCTGGATGAGGCCAGTTTGAATCAAAAGGAAAGAAAGGAGAAAATATCACATTAAAGAAATGAAGTGTCTGTGTGGTTACAGCACCAGGAGGAAGCTCACACTCCACAGTGCGGCATTCTTGGCTCTTCTACATGAACATGCCTGGCTGCCCTGAGGACTCTCCCACTCTCAGCCCCATTTTCCCTGTCCCCAACGTGCCATTCCCAAGGAGAAGACACACACTTCTTTGGGCTTCTGAGCCTTGCATCCAACTTTTATTTAGTTTGGAACCTCCTCTGCCTTCATAAGCTACCTGCTCCGACCGCGATCCCCTAGCAGGGTTGGGTGTGCCTGTTCTGGGCCCATTCTCACTCTAGAGTTAGAGGTCTTTCTCAGAGAACCTATCACCAGCAAGCCAGCAGCTGTCAGACCCCATGAATGTTTACTGAGTTGAATTTTCTCTTCTGTCTTTGACAAGCAAGGAAATAAAACAATGTCTTATAGGACTCTAGCGAAGTTGGCAAAGACTAGGATGAGATCAGTGGAAATAATTCATGAATAAAATACACACACACACACACAGCCAAAAAAAAATGGTTAAAGCAAACTTACAGTTTCCTATCCTGGAAAAAGGTTCATGCTATGCCTGGCATAGAGGTCATGTCAGTAGCACTTACCCTGGCATCCCCTCTGTAAGTCTCATTGCCTGAAATTTCACACTTAGAGATTTATTTCTTAGGCTCTTAACATGTATATTTCTTAAAATATCAATATTCTCTAGAAAAGGTAATACCTCAGCAATAATAAATGTATCTTATCCTTTCCTGACTATAAGATGGAGGGAAAGATACAAGAGGCCTGAAGGGGAGGAATAGCAATAGGAGAAAATATCAGAAAAAGAAGATAGCTTCACACTTTTCCCTGATTGAGATATACGGTATATTTGTCTTCAAACAGGTTAGGCATTAATATCTGCAAAGTGATGACTCACTTTTACTATGATAGAGAAAAAAACATTGAATTCTTAAGGGGAGTTGGTAATAGAATTGTTATAAGTTACTTTAAAGGAAAGACTTCATTGCGGTCATAAAAGTTATTTAAAAGTAAGCTTGGTTCTGTTGAAATTTGTGTATAGTGTGTATATGATCGGAGACAGAGATTTGATCGATGATCTCTAGAATTCCCTGAGATGGTCTGGAAATGAAATGATGGGTAAATCATGTGAAATGAGCTTATCTTTGCAATGGATCTCCTTGCTGTATCGAGGGCCTTGTTATGTATATGAAAATTACCTCGATAAAGTTGATTTTGACTGATGGTTGTGCTAATCAGCTGAACAAACCTGTTAGGGAAGAGGAATCAAATATGAAATAAAAGATCACTTATTCACATTTGTCAACCTGCCCACGAGTCATTTATCTTAAGGGCTCTGATTGAGAATGTGCTAAGTCATATGTAAATCATGATAATCTATAATGGTAAAAGTCAGCATAGACTTTTGGATATAAATTGCACTCCATTCCATCTTAACTGCATTGATTAATGTGAAGGAGAGATTGGCAAGCATCTGATAAACTATATCACTATAAATAGCTAAATCTATTTCCCCACGTTCCCACTCCACCAAAAAAAAAAAAAAAAATGCCAAAAATCAGGATGAATTTTCAGGATGATTTTGAGGTTGACAAAGTAATTACTCAGCTTTGACTTCTCCAGAATCCCAACTGGGGTTTGCCTGGGTGGCTCCCGATTAAAATGGCCAGGGTGTCGGAATCTCTATGAAGCAGGCGTCCCTAATTCAGCGGCTGATACACGGGAGTCCTGTTCACAGTCAGAGCTCAGGAACTGAACTTGAACAGAGTGAAGCCTTAGCAGATTACTTTTCTTGGCACTTCCTTCAGATGCACAAAGAAAAGTTTAGGTTTGCAGCCCCCTCGGAAGTGATTTCCTCCTCTGTGCATTTGATGCTTCTGCCTTGTATAGACATGAGTCACAGCACCAGACAAGATTCTATGGCCGGTGAATCACATTGGGAATGTGGAGTTTGCAATTCCATTTCAGCTTTTCAAAACAGATTTGATTTTTAAAAAAAAAAAAAATCATATAATTGTAAACTCCAAAAAAAATCACAGTAGGCCAAAATTTCATATCTTATGCTATGGGGAACTCTTAGACCCTAATCAACTTATACCAGGACTAATCTCCTTTCCTCAGCCAGCAGTCCAAGCTAAAATAATAGTCTATTGTTGCTTCAAGCCAGACACAGTGAGGTCTGTGTGCTTTCATGCCTACTCTACCATGTGGGAGACTTTCTGAAGGAAAAATCAGTCAAAAGTGAAAAATGTGCTTCAGCAGAAATGGCTGTGTACCAATTAGCAGTGTTCACGTTCTGGTTTGGGGCTGCGTCTGTTTTAAGGTTTGGGCCACGGTAACTTTTCTCCTAATCAATCGAGAAGCAAAACCTGCAATACCAACATTGCCTTCTCAGCTTCCTTGGTGCTGGGGGAGAGGGGGGGTTGCTCTGTAATCCCTGAGTGTGTGCGTGCTTGTCCGTATTGTGTTTTCTCTTGGTTGAAGGCCAGCCGTCACCAGTTCTCTACTAATTACAACTCATTCTCATTGCCTGTCAGGGCGAAGAGCATTTGAGTTGTGAAGAATTCAGACATACAAGAATGGAGCCCCTGTCTTATTTCAAATACAAACTTACAAAAGACACTTCCATTTAATTCCAATAAAACCAGGGTTTATATTTTATTTTCGCAGCTTGGGTTTTTCTTTATGTTCCCTCTCGGCATTTTGTTCATTCATGACTGACTCTAAAGTTTCAGTATTTCCAGAGTGCGAGTTAAACACCTAAATAGTTTCATAAGAATCGTTAACTTAGACAACAGCTATAAATAACATCGATTGTGATATTCCCACCTATAGCTGCTCAAAGTCAGATTAAATTTTTAAAGTGGCATTTGGTGGCACAGATTTCTGTGCTGTGTAGTGTAGCATCGACATAGTTTAAGATTGTGTGGGTTTGTGTGTGTGTTAATTCTCACCTGAGGGTATTTCTTTATTGATTTTTTTAGAGTGGAAGGGAGGGAGAGAGGTAAAGAGAAACATTAATGTGTGTCTCTCACATTGATCGGTTGCCTCCCCACATGTGCCCGACCAGGGGCAGGGATCCAGCTTGCATCCGAGGTAGGTGCCCTTGACCATAATCAAACCCAGAACCCTTCAGTCTGAGGACCAATGCTCTATCCACTGAGCCAAACCAGCTAGGGCGAAGATTGTGTTTATTTGATTGCTCCGGGGAATGGGTTTTCTTTATGTAAAACAATATAAACCACCTTTATTTCTCCTTATCTTTTTACACTTTGTCCATTTCTCTGTAAAAATAAAAAATGGAGGGGGAGGAAGGAAATCACCCAGAGCTAAATGAGGCAATCGCTTTGATAAATGTTGCCTTTAACAGAGCCTTTGGGCTTCCCTTTGTTCTCTCCTCCTGAAGAGGAAAGTCAGTCTAACCAAGGGGTTTTATTCCTTCCCTTTATGACTGTAGGAAGCAGTCCTGGGATTATTTTAACCTTAGGGTGATACATGATCACGCAGTATATGATGGCATATTGATGTGTGTAAGTGGATTTTAAACCTTACGCCATCTCCACTCGCTGTTTGCTGGGATAACAACTCAGCTTTGATACCAAGACCTTGGTCCTTGTGCCTGACTCAGCCTCCCAGAGGCACCCGCCTGCCCTGCCTCTCACTCAGCCCTGCCCGTGTGTGTTGTCCCAGGTGTCCACTGTGACAGCGTGTGTGCGGAGGGACGCTGGGGTCCCAACTGCTCCCTGCCCTGCTACTGTAAAAACGGGGCTTCGTGCTCCCCGGACGACGGCATCTGCGAGTGCGCGCCAGGGTTCCGAGGCACCACTTGCCAGAGAAGTAAGTGTTCCCTCAGGCGGCAGTCTGTCCTCCTCAGGGCACCGAGTGAGGGTTATTATCTCTGTCCTCCTCTCAGCGAGTAGGGACATCTGTGGCAGTTGAAGGTAGAAGGAAATGTAATGGGCAACCCTGTCCTTTGCAGAGCCGGCCTTCATAGCACATCCCCGGCTTTTATTCCTTCCAACCTTCCAGGACTGACCTAACAGATGGGGCTTTCGCCATTTTTTCCCCAGTAATGATTTCATTGCCTCATTGGCATCACCATCGGGATCTGTTTCTTGATCCTGCCTTAAATCTTGCAAATGGTGTTCCAGAAATCCATTGACCTGTAAATATTTTATTAGGCAATTTGGCATTGGCCTTATTTCAATTACTAGAAGTCAACATCAGCCAAACCTTGCGGCAAATCATGCATCCTGCTAGTAGTCTGAAAGTTAGTACTATGGGGGACATAGAATTGCCGAGTTTAAAATGGGGGCTGTTGACATTGGTCAGTTGAAAACTTAAGTTAGGAAATGACCCATAAGATTTTACTAAATCTTCTTGTAAATGTTTTCAAGAAAGGAATATAGGACTAACTATAAGGTACATTATTCTAATTTTTAAATTACTTTGTTTTATTGAGAGTTCTATGCAGTTGTCCTACATTTAAATCCCAAATAATGTCTTGGGAAGAACCTAATTATGTAGTGTTTTGCTTACTCACTTTTCAGCCACAATCATTAAGCTGGACCATGGAGAGGAGGAAACATCTTTTAATTCTGACTATCGGTCTATTTATTGCCAGCCATGACTAAGTGAAGGGTCAACACATGGCTCGAGAGTATTTATTTTGGCCTTCTTAGAATTTAGAATTTTATTTCCTTCTTTCATTTATTTATTAAAGCCTTTAGCTCTATGCCAAACCTCAAGCTAATTGGAGCCATAAATGGGAAAATAAAGGGGACGAAGTCATTTGCCTGTCCTCGGGCAATTCAGAATTTAGTGTCTTTTTTTTTCATTATAAAAGAATACCCTGTTTCTTTGATGGTTGTTATTTTATACTTGGAAAATTCTCAGTATGATTAAAAAATGTTTTACTCAAAACTTGAACTAGATCTCGATGTGGAATAGGAAAGAAAACTATTTCAGGAAAGGTAACTGTCGATTTCCATTCTTGTTTCAGTCTGTTCCCCTGGTTTCTATGGGCATCGCTGTAGCCAGACGTGCCCGCAGTGTGTGCACAGCAGTGGGCCCTGCCACCACATCACCGGCCTGTGTGACTGCTTGCCTGGCTTTACAGGAGCCCTCTGCAATGAAGGTAAGGCGCAGTTTGGGAGAGACAACTGGTGATGAGCAAGCCCGTGTGGTCTGTCCTCAGGCTCCCAGGGACCTGTCTGCAGCTACTAGCTCTCGAGGCCTCCAGGGGGCTGTGTTTGCAGCTTCTGCAGATATGACGTTGAGCTTTGGAAGAGTTGGCTTGCCACTCCAGCAAAGCCTCTTTATTCTCTGAGCGGTGCTACACTTCAGCTTTAATTGCAAACAGCCTCCCATGAAAAAATCAGTCTGAGGAAGGATTTTGCCTTCTTGAGCGAAAAGTTATGAAATCATATTTCTAGAAATGTGCTGGTGTCTCCTGGTTCGTGATGCCTTAATGAGGGTGTGTGGCTTAATGTGTTTGTAAAAACAAGCCCATTCAGGATGAAGGATGATGTTAGGTGGAGGCAGCTACTAAATGGGCAACTGGGCGGAGGACCTTTAAAGTTCCCTCCTGTCCCAAGAGCCCAGGGTTTTTGTGAGATGAGATGTAATGATGAGTTACTGATCTATAACTTGTTCACAGTGTGTCCCAGTGGCAGATTTGGGAAAAACTGTGCGGGAATTTGTACCTGCACCAACAATGGGACCTGCAACCCCATTGACAGATCTTGTCAGTGTTACCCGGGATGGATCGGCAGTGACTGCTCTCAGCGTAAGTCTCGTCTGAGAAGTACTGATCAACCATTTTTATTTGTTTGTTTTCAAACTCTTTAGGGTTGAAGTATGAGTGGTTATCTAATCAAGCAAACTATATTAATAATTATAAGATACATTATTTTAAAGTTTAAATGACTTTGTTTTTGCCATTAAGAGCTCCGTGCAATGGTCCTATATTTAAATCTAAATAATGTCTTAAAAGAAACCTAAATAAATAGCATTTTTTTGCTTATTTACTTTTCAGTGATTCTTCATCTGTAAAATGGGGGTCGTGTAATCAGAAAATCTACGCTAAGATTCACTCCAGACCTCAAGTGGGAGATATTATTTTTCCCTTGCTCTTGGGGGATAAACATGTGGGAGACTTTTTTATGGGAGACTTCCTTCATTTTTAAAAATTACTTCAGATTTATTTGTCTTTTGGGCCATATTTCCTACTGGATAGCCATATAGAAATTATAGGCGGTCCTCCTTTGAAGGAGTTATGTTCTTTAAGCGTTGGTATGAATAAAAACATTGTTTGACTGGGTTTTTTGGTAAATCAAATCATTTTACCCCATCACCTTACATTGCAATTTCAGAGATACTTTATCTGAGGTTCTGATGGCCCTTCAATGAGCAATGACCCCTAAGATTTAGGTTTTTTTTAATATATTTTATTGTTTTTTACAGAGAGGAGGGGAGAGGGATAGAGCCTTAGAAACATCGCTGAGAGAGAAACATTGATCAGCTGCCTCTTGCACGCCCCCTACTGGGGATGTGCCCGCAACCACGGTACATGCCCTTGACTGGAATCAAACCTGAGACCCTTGAGTCCTCAGGCCAATGCTCTATCCGCTGAGCCAAACCGGTTAGGGCTAGTTTTGTTTTTTCAACTCTAAGAGTTTAAAAATCTATTTTAGATTGAATCTAAGATAACTGAAGATTTAGTTTTATTATTATCTGCTCTTTCTAAGTAAGAGGTTTTACAAGTAAACCAATTCTTACATGCAACGGGGCACCATAACATTTAAAACAAGCCTCTTGTGACATCTCTGGAACAGGCTGACAAGTGCCAGCTTCTGAGATCAAAGACAAAAATTACATGGCCCTGGTCCCAAACCTCTCTCAAGTCACATCATTTTTCTATCTGATCTCTGCTCAGCAGCCTCTCCTCAGAGGGCCCCCTCTTAAAGAAGCAGCTCCGTCATTCCCATCCCCTTAACCTGTTTAATTTTTTTCATAGTTCTTATCACCGCTGGTTTTGGGTTGGCTGGTTGGTTTGCCTGCCTTCCCCACTAAAAGAAGCTTCTGGAGGATAGCCTTTCTCGTTCTCTGCTATCACCTTCGTTCCCCAAACAGTGCTGGGCACAGAGGTGCTCAGTGTACATGATAAATAATGAAATCTGTGACCTTGAGGTGATTCCCGCTCTGCTCTGCAGTCTGTGAATGAATTCCTGGCAGTGGTGCTGGTTGCTGTCACCGTCAGCATTGCCATCTGGGTCTTATGTGTGGAGCAGTGTGCTTCCTCAGTCCTGGTGCACACTGCTAACCTCTCGTGTGCAAGGAGCTGTGTGTGTGGAGGGGGCTTGGGGAGCGGGTGTTGGAACCTCCTCTGCTGGGCTGGCCTCGGATCTCACAGAGCTCTCCACGCCTGCTGTGCTTTCAGCTTGTCCACCCGCCCACTGGGGCCCGAACTGCATCCACACGTGCAACTGCCACAACGGGGCCTTCTGCAGCGCCTACGACGGGGAATGCAAGTGCACTCCCGGCTGGACGGGGCTCTACTGCACGCAGCGTAAGCGGCCAGCCTCCCGAACCCAAGGGGAGCCCCACCAGGAGGACACAGCCTTTCCCTGTGCGCCCACAAGCTCTCCTGGCAATCGAGGGCTTGGTCTACCCACCGACCTCTAGACATCTAACTCTCTACATGGTTAAGAGCTGCCACATCCCAGGGTTTCTGTCTGTGTCATATCAGGGCCATGAGGGGGAGCAGTGCTTGCTATATGTAGATGTGGTGGGGGGCAGTGTCTTTCTCCTCTTTAAACACCCTATTTATGTGGCTTCAACTCCCTTTCATGCATTCTACATGAACGTGGTTAGAGTAGGTGACAGTGATTAGAAAGGGAGTGAAGGCGACAAGCCTCCGCCTGCCGTGCTCTGTGCTCTTGGAGGTCCAGTCCATGGCTCTCGAGCTTGAGCGAGCTTCCCAACCACCCGCTGGCTCAGTCAGCTGGCCCCGCTCCCAGCGTGTCTGATCCGGGAGGGCTGGGCTGGCACCAGAGAACTCACATTTCTAACAACTTTCCAGATGGTGATGCCAGTCTGGGGTCGTGCTTTAAGAATCACTGGTCCATTTTTCCATTTTGTGTCCCATAGTGTGCTGACCATTTCTTCTTCTATAAGGTCATTAGCGTCATAGGTTATAATGTGCAAAGTACTCCCCATCTTGGCACTGTTGGGGGAAAAAAGACTAGTCTCTACCCTCTTGCCTTTCATTGAATGAAGGAGAAAAGACAAGAAGGCACGTATCATGATTATCATTAATACTCGTATATAATTTTAAATTGCAGAAGTGAGCAGATGAGAGATGAGTCAGAGATTAAGCAACATTTGTTTAATTCTAATTAGAAAACATAAAAAATAGGCTGAACAAGCCTTTTGGAACTTTCTAGAAAGGGGTATAGACCTTGAGCCATGATTTGAAAGGGAGAATTGTCAAGGAGGAAGGTTGTCCCAGGCATATTCTGCCGAGATTGTATATGTACATAGAAAGGTTTTTGAGCTCCTTAGGGAAAACACCTTGCAAGTTATTTATAATTCCAAAACCAGGACCTGCTTCAGGCAGAGGAGCTTTTAAGTGGATGTATCACAGTGCAGTGGGAAGAGCAACAGGGTCTAGGCAGACCTCCCTGCGTTTTGCATCGTCACCCGCCATCCTGCCATTTGCTGGCTGTGTGCACTCAGGGCTCGGTTCCCACATGCAGGGTGGGATTTTCCATCCCTGTGTTTCTGGGCTTCTGTCAGGAGTCGGTGAGGAGGCATGAAAAGAGCTGGCACAGGCTGGGTGCTAAATGAGTACAATGGCCACGGGGGTGCTGTCTCTGCATTCCAGTATCTGGGTCTGCCTCTGCGTCCTGAAAGCTGAGGCTTCATTAAAACTTCCCTGTAAAAAAGGGGGAAATAAAAGGCACATGTGATGCTTGGAACCAGCCGTGGAACCAGCTGGTGTTGAAGCTTTCTTGACTCACAGAGCCCTGAAACTCTTGCCGGTCAGCGGCCGGCCCATTGAATCCAGTAGGGCTGTGCAAGAGTCCGGATGGTCTGGGCCTTGAAAATTGTGCCGCGGTGGGAAGGCGAATTGCTTTGTTATAAAGCACCTGCAAAGTGCAGGGATGTTTCAGTTCATCATTTTACCACGTATCTTCAGTGAAGGAGATCATATTATCTAAGTGAGTAACACGTACGGCGGACAGGTATCAGAGTTGGAGACATTCTGTACCAGAAGTAAAAGCATTCAGGTCGTTTTTAGATAAAGTACCCACCCACTTCAGTCCACGGAATTGGAGTCCAGGATGCTTGTAGTTAAGTGAAAGAATGAAAGGAAATGCCCAGACCTCGGCAGGGTTGAGGATGCCTTCTTCGAAGACACCCGCCGTGCCTCCAGGGTACCAGTACTGGTTCACCTGCCAGGTGTGGAAGTGCTCTGCCTCCTGCATGTGAACTCCAGCCTCCTCACAAGAACCCCTTCTTGGGACGTCAAAGAAGGCTTTGTGACAAGCCGACACACGTATCACTGTCTTTACTCGCTCTCTAGTGGCTCACCGTCTTTAAAATGTTGGAGGCAAGAGCTGTGCTTCTCCTCGACAGCCTCTTGACTCCTGCTGTCCTTCCTCCTCGCACAGGCTGCCCCCTGGGGTTTTACGGGAAAGACTGTGCGCTGATATGCCAGTGCCAAAACGGAGCCGACTGCGACCACATCTCCGGGCAGTGCACCTGCCGCACCGGGTTCATGGGGAAGCACTGCGAGCAGAGTGAGTACGAGAACACCACATCTCTAGGCGGTCTGTCCCCCCACAGTCACTTTTCCTAGATGCCTGAAGATATTTTAAGTTTTTTCAGCTGGTGGCTGGTCACCAGCACGGTTGACTGCTCTTCAAAGACCTGGCCACCTTGGGATCTTTGCTGTCTTTTTCCTCAAAATTCTTCTTCTGAGTAACTCCTCATTGCTCTGGGTGGAGGGGGTGTGGCTCCAAGACTGAAGACAAAATTCAAGTTTTCCATCTGTTCATCCTGGCTCCCTCTTCCACTCTTTCTTATTTTTGGAACGTGGATGCTCAGAGCTTTAAAAGAGCCAGTCAAGCTTTCTTTATGGCAAAGACAGAGCCCAGGTCTCTCGCTGAAGGAGACTGCATTCAGTGGGCCAGGCTGGGTGTGCAGGAGGCAGAGGGGCTGGGTGCCCAGGGCCAGCCCACTATGGGTGAGCGAACAAGCCTGTGCAAACATGGCCACCCTTCTGACAACCTCGTTTAGAAAGGTTTTATACTGTTTCTACTAACAACTTCTCATCTTTGCCTTAACAGCCTTCAAGACAACATATTGCCTTAAAATTTTGTTCTAAAAATCTCATCCTGGGAGAATATGCTCTGTTGGAATTACCCACTCTTGGTTTTCCATTTCTGCCCCACCAGCTCTGCATCTCCTCACGAGGTTATGGGAACATTTAGTCTCATTTCGGATTAGTTTACTATTCTTTTCCTCTGGGACTTTCAGTATTTACGAGGAGTAAATAAATACTTAGAGCTGTATGGGGCTCACTTAACAATGGTAATGGCAGGAAAAGGAGCAGGAGATTTCCTGCTCACCAGAGGGCGCAGTCCTGGGAAGGATGAAGCGAAGATGACAGGCCTCCAGGGCCACATGGCCTAGAAAGACTGATCAGCATAGGAGGATTTGGCAATAAAGCGTTGCCCGCCACCAACCCACCAGCACCTCACAGCACCACTGGACAGCCCAGTAAAATGTGTTAACCTTAGAATATTTGTGCATATACTCCTGCCTAGCAAATATAACAAGAGTGATGTCCAAGAAGCAGCCTGGACAGAGAGGCCCGATTTTAGTTTTGCTCTGCTAGTTCACTTAATCATGAAACAGATACTGAGTCACAGAGCTACCTGCACACCCCTTGGTATATACAAATATTGTGCACATTTGTGCAAATGTCTAAACATATGTGCACATACATATAGGGGTGAGTCAAAGTAGGTTTACAGTTGTGAGTACGGGAATCACAGTTTATTCTTGTATTATTATTTATTAATTAGAGGCCCGGTGCATGAAATTCATGCAGGGGGGTGGGGAGGGGGGTGTCCCTCTGCCCTGCCTGCAGCCTCTCTAATCTGAGATCCCTCTCACAATCCAGGACTGCTGACTCCCAACTGCTCGCCTGCCTGCCTTCCTGATTGCCCCTAACCGCTTCTGCCTGCCAACCTGATCACCCCCTAACCACTCCCCTGCCAGCCCAATTGCCCCTAACTGCCCTCCCCTGCCAGCCTGGTCACCCCCAACTGCCCTCCCCTGAAGGCCTGGTTGACCCCAACTGCCTTCCCCTGCAGGCCTGGTCCCCCCCAACTGCCCTCCCCTACAGGCCTGTGTCCCCCCCAACTGTCCTCCCCTGCTGGCCTGATTACTCCTAACTGCCCTCCCCTGCTGGCCTGATCGCCCACAACTGCCCTCCCCTGCTGGCCATCTTGTGGTGGCCATCTTGTGTGTTGGACTGATGGTCAATTTGCATATTACCTCTTTATTATATAGGATTATTGTATTATTTTCCATATGAACAACTGTAAGCCTATTTTTGCCCACCCCTGTATCTGTATAGAAACCGGAATAAGCTCTAAACTGACTTAAGCTTGAGTGGCAGACTGTAACCACTCTTATTAAATAAAAGCCTCTTAAGTGCTTCCATGATTATTCTGAATGACAAATTTGTAAACAGAAACCCTGAGCTGGACAGAGAACTCTGATAATAGTAGCACATTGCCCCCTGCTGATCTCTCTACAAAAGAATCACTATTTTGTCATGATGATTTTTAGATTTAACATGCCTATGCTAAGCTTTGAAATTCATGCCCAAACTTAGTAAGTCTACATCATAAAAAACCCACTATTTCAGTCTTTCAGCCTTCGACCTGCAAATCCAAATTTTGAGCCATTCTTTGGTAAGTGAAGTTCTTACCTAGAAAATTAACAAAACTTGCCCCCCTCCTTCTTCCCCTTCTGCTAGCTAATCCGAGTCAGAATATGCTATTGGGAGGATCCCTGGGCCTGTAGTAAGGTATACTTGTACTCAAGAGAGCATCTCTAGTTTATACTCCTCAGTCTGGTCCCCTTCCATCCCATAGCTTTGTCTGGTGGAGTCATCTCAGATTGTCCTTTGTCAGTTCCATTGGAATTCCGCAGGCTCTGTGCCTACTCATCCAGGGAGGTGGGTACATAGAAGCTGAAAGTGTCAGGAGCTGTGATGAGGGGCTCAGTCTCCAGCCCTGTGTCTCCTGGCCTGTGAATCGCACCATGAATGCTGGCCACCTTTGGGTGGTACAAGTCTGCCTGAACAGGGATCCCTGAGAGGGGTGGCCTCGAGACACTCAGGGTCATACAGTAAGAGACAGCCTTGCCCCAGATTCCCAAGGCTGAATGGGACTTTCACTTCCTTCTCAGAGTGCCCTGCAGGGACATATGGCTACGGCTGTCGCCAGATATGTGACTGTCTGAACAACTCCACCTGCGACCACATCACTGGGACCTGTTACTGCAGCCCAGGATGGAAGGGGGCACGGTGTGATCAAGGTAAGGATTCTAGTAAATAACAACCACCACCTCGTATCGTGTGACCACCATCCACCCGACATGAAGTGTTTCGGCTTGTGTTCTCTGATGTAATCCTCACCATGACGCTGCAAGGCACAGCTGGTCATTCATGTAGCTGCCAGGTGGATGCCTTATTGTTGCTGTCCTACAGATGAAAAAACTGAAGCTCAGAGAGGCTGAGTAATCTGCCCAAGGTCATGCAGCTACTATAGAACATGTCAGGGCTTTGATGTCAGATTTCCAAAGCTCATGAACTTTCCATTGCACCTACAATGTTTTTTAGTCTTACTGAGGCATGATTAACCTATAAAAAGCAATAAATACATACAGTATATGTACAGTAACACAGAGTATACAATTTGATAAAAATCTGACATGCATACACCCCATGAAACCATTACCACAATAAAGAGAATGACTATATCCATCACTTCCAAAACTTTCATCATGTCCCTCCTTTCCAGCACTACTCCCGAGGCCCCATCTACTTTCTGTCTCTATAGATTTGTGCAGTTTTTAGAATTTCATATAAATGGAATCATACTGTACACTTTTTGTCTAATTTTGTTTACTCGGCATAAGTATTTTAAAACTAAACCATGTTGTGGTGTATGTCAGTGGTTCAATTGTTTTTACGGCAGAGTAGTATTCTGTTGCATGGAATACACCATCATTTCCTTGCCCATTCACCTGTTGATGGACTTTTGGATTGTTCCCAGTTTGGGGCTATTACAGATAAAGCTTCTGTGTACAATAGTGTGTCAAGTTTTTTATAGGGACATATACTTCCGTTTCTCATGAGTAAATTAGTATGAGTGGGGTGTGATTGGCTCATGTGGTAGGCATATGTTTAGCTTGTTAAGAAACTCTTGCCCGTGGTTTTTAACTAAGGTTTATTTCATACTCCTCTGGGGGTATTGTATACGTTGTCCCACTTGGCCAATCTGACTCTGGGATGAATGGGCCTTTGAGAAAGTGCTCCTTACGGTTCTGAAGCATGGCCTCCAGAGAGTTCCTACTGCACGCGGTGCCCTTCAGTAGGTAAATATTATAATACACTCGTGGGTGTAAAGGCTTTAGAATTCATACAGTATCATAGGTGAAATCATCTTGCACTGTAGATTATGTAGGTACTCAGTTCATTTCTTTCTGACAATAACGTTTGCATGCTCGTGATTTATGTCTGACTGTCCTGGTGATAGGATGTTACGTTCCACAATCACACGATTATTACAGATGCGCTGTAATCGCACTGCACTGGTCCTTGGCGCTCTGTGTTCCGGGGCAGACTGTCTCATCAGAAGGTCTGGCATTTAGACTCATAAAATCACGGGGACATTAGAGCTGGAAGCACCTTCAGGGAGGCCAGTTTCCTCATTTTCAGATGACGAAACTGCAGCGGAAGAGCTTAGGGAAAGCAGAATATCAAGGTCAAGTGTTTCAGATGCCAGTTCCTTGACCCTTTAGTGTCTGTACCTTTAGTGTCTTCACTTGATGAAACAAGAGGAAGGATTGTGGAAAACTGAGTTTTGAATTATGAGTAAGGTTTAGGGTGATGTTATTACTGGGACAGACCTTTCTGTCACAGAAAATAACTGCACAGAGCAGTATTTTCTGAAGTAAAAGCCCATTGAAATCAGGATAAGGCAGGTCCTGATCTTGGACTAGGTTTAAAATGGAGTTATTCTGGCTTGGAAGGAAAATTACTGTTAAAAATGCTAAAGATAGACATAAAATTAAGTTAGTTGAGACATTTAGGAGCTAGCCCTTCATAACCTTAATACCGTATAATAAATAAAGCACAATAAAAAAATTAAATCAAGTGCCACTCCCAATTAATTGCCAAAGTGTTTAAACTGAAATAGGCGAGAAGCTCCCAAATCCTACTGTTGAATCTTGGGGTTCAGGAACTCCTGCCTTTTTTCAAGGTTTACAGCTGCCTTTCTCTGGGCACAGACCAGCCAACAACATCTAAAAATGAGGAACATTTGTTTCCAAATTAACATCTTAGGAGCTAAAAATATCCCGATCTTAGCACAGCGGGAGATGTTTGTAAGTAGAGTTCAAGCATTTACGCAGCACATTGTCCTCCTTATTTGTGTCTCCTTTTCTGCTTTTTCTAGCCGGTGTCATAATAGTTGGGAACCTGAACAGCTTAAGCAGAACCAGCACGGCTCTTCCCGCTGACTCCTACCAGATCGGGGCCATCGCCGGCATCATCATCCTCGTCCTGGTTGTCCTCTTCCTCCTGGCCTTGTTCATTATCTACAGACACAAGCAGAAGGGAAAGGAGTCGAGCATGCCAGCCGTGACCTACACCCCCGCTATGAGGGTCATGAATGGAGACTACGCCATTTCCGGTGAGACTGGAGTCCTTAGAGGCCTTGTACTCTTTGAAAAGTTCGGTTTTCTTACCTGGTTCTTTGAAACTGGGTTTTGGGTATGCTGCCCATTGTTCCTGTCAGGTAGACTTGAGGAAATGTTATATTTGGAAAAGGTTCATTGTTCGAGACGTGTTCTGTATGTCAACAGTAGTAATATCATTACTGTTGTCTTCTAGGTCAGTGGTCGGCAAACTCATTAGTCAACAGAGCCAAATATCAACAGTACAACGATTGAAATTTCTTTTGAGAGCCAAATTTTTTAAACTTAAACTATATAGGTAGGTACATTGTTATTAACTTAATTAGGGTACTCCTAAGGCTTAGGAAGAACCACACTCAAGGGGCCAAAAAGCCGCATGTGGATCGCGAGCCGCAGTTTGCCGACCACGGTTCTAGGTGGTTGCTTTAGACTTCGGGAATTTCAACCCGGGAAAAGCTTTACTGGGTAATGAGTCCCAAGGTTTTGCCCTCTGTGGGGACAGGGATGGGAGAGGCGGGTGACTGTAACTTCACCAAGGCCTGGAGCAGGCCAGGGACCAGGGACCAGGGCCAGGTCTGCTGTCTCTCGCCTTGAATTGTTCCTGCAGTTCCTTCCAGCCCGTCCCCGAGCCCATACAAATCATTAACTGCACAGCAACCAAGTTACAGAAGAAACAGTTTTTCAGTTTTAGCAAGAACCAGGGTATTTCCTTAAGAAAACTCTTAAATCTTCCTTTCGGTCACAAGTCCTCATAAAAGTAAATTTTTAGGTGACACGCTCAGTCATCAGAAGTAACCACTTAAACAGAGGAATTTGGAAACTTAAAATATTTATTAATTGGAAGGCAATTGCTGAAGGATTTTGGAAGTGTCACATGATTGTAAATACACTGATTGTGGGAAAATGCATAAAGTAGCTGTACAGAATATTGTAGTACAGAATGTTGTAGTCAAGGACTCAAGTGTTTTATAAAAGAAGAAAATGACAGCAGAAATAACTTCAAAGCAGTGCCTTCCCAGCCATATCTGTGGATATTTTCACACTTTTCAAGGAGGCTGGTAAGAAGTCAAATTCCTGCTGCTTCTAGAAGCTTCACTGAGCATACTGGGCAGGAGGGTATTCCGCCCAGTTTGCAAAATGGAAGCAGCCCAAATACATGTTCTCATTACATAGCTTGCTTCCCTTTTTTCCACCCAGGGTCAGGGGAGCCTGCCATCTTCACTGTCTCCTCCTTCTCTTGCAGAAACCCTTCCTCACGGCAACGGTGGAAATGCTAACAGCCATTACTTCACCAACCCCAGTTACCACACGCTCACGCAGTGTGCCGCGTCCCCTCGGGTCAACAACAGGGACAGGATGACCATCGCCAAGGTGAGAGGCAGTGGCCCAGGTCGGTGAGGGTAGGCAGGGGAGGGAGAAAGGAACAAGCAGGTATCGAGGGCTGCTGTTTGCCATGCTGTTCTAGGCAAACATATATCTATTGTCTCATTTATCCCTCCAGACAGCCCTGTAAGTGTTCATCCCCCTAAACAACCCAGAGTAATGGGGATTTTGAGTCACTTCCACACACAGCTCCCCAGCTAGTGGGTGAGGCAGCTGCGATGTGAGTCAAGGTCTTTCTGTCTCTACAGTTTATACTGTTTCCATTGCTTCTCTTTGGAAAAATGTTTCTAATATTGGGTGAGGTTTTAAAATAACGTCTCATAGCAGAATACAGCAGACTCATTTCTGGGTAAAATTGCCAAGTTTGTCTTTTCTGATCACCTGTCTCCTACTGCCCTTTCCTGGCCACTTGTACTTTCATAACAACAACAACAACAACAATAATATGTATGTATTTAGGTCAAACCACACGAAATTGCATTTTTGTAGGTCAGAGGGATCAAATAGAAACAATGTGCCAAGCATTTCTAATTATTTTACAGATAGCAGCTCATTTAATCTTTACGCCAACCCTATGAATCAAGAGTAGATATTTTTCCCAATTGGTAGAGAGGTTGAAGAGCCAGGGCTGCCTAGAACCTAGAGCTGCTTCCTGTAGGACTCCCCAGCTCCCTTCTACATGCACTGAAATCCCAAACATGCCTCCCTTCCAGTGGTTCCCAAATTATATTTCCAGTCTCCGTTGTCTAATTCCAGCTCTTCTTAAAAGACAACCAAGCTAATAAAATTAATTCAGTTGCAATTAAGTTAATGCAGCTGGATTTTAATTATAGTGCCTCGTAGTTAAATGGCACTTCACATTCTCCAGAGACTTTCATATTCATCATTCCATTTGTTCTCATTCACATTCAGGGAGGGAGGCAGAGTAGATGATCTTATTCTCATATTTATAGCTCGGAAAACTGCCGAGAGTCACTGTGACTCTTACAAGATCATACAGGATTGGATGGGAGAGCTCTGGCCAGGAATTTGGTTTTTTCAGTGTAAAGTTCCATGTATGTAAACCCCAATAAGGCCTAATTGGTACAGAGTAACAACATGAAATCAAGAAGCTGAGGCCGTGGGGAAGGGGGGACAGTTGGGGCCAAGGGTCATACACTCCTGCTGCCTCGGTGTCCCGCCAGGTCAGACACGGTCACCTCTGCCCCTCCGCCCGGCCTCATTCAAGGACCAGCCCTTGGTACATGCCGTGGACTTGCTCCCCCAGACCAGTAACATTGTGCGGTACCACATTATATTCTCTTTTGACGTCATTTGTTGTTTTTATTTTTAATAGTCGAAAAACAATCAGCTGTTTGTGAACCTGAAGAATGTGAATCCTGGGAAGAGAGGCCCAGTGGTGGACTGCACGGGCACACTGCCCGCGGACTGGAAGCACGGCGGCTACCTCAACGAGCTCGGTGATTCTCCCGACTCCCGTCCCCAACGAGCACCTTCACCTTTTAGTCACCTCAGATAGTCAGAGGTTTATGTCTGTGCCAAAGTGAAAGACAGACTCATCGACTGCTACCTCACCCCCTGCGGGGGCTTAGGACTGTCCCAAGTGCCTTATTCATTCAGCATTATTTGAGTTTCTGCTGTGTGCCAGGAATGATCACGTGAGATAAGGGTCTCTGCCTGCTGGTAGCTTACGTTCCAACTCTTTCTATAGTAACTCACTTAATTCTCCTGGGCGCTGTAATAGGCAGGAACTATTATAGGCAGCAGCATCTCCATGTTACAGTTAAGAAGCTGAGTCTTAAAAAGGTTAAGTAACTTGTGCAAAGTCAAACCCTACTAAGTGATAAAACTGGGAGTTAAACCTAATCGCTGGGTACCAGGCTGTGGGCTCCTCTTTGTTCCCCTGGGAGGTGAGGAAACGGAGCTATCAATAGGAATATCATAAATCAGTGGTTCTCAAGTGTTTTGGAGTCGGGACCCTTTCACACACTCTCCAAAGTTATCAATGGCCCCAAAGAATTTCTGTTGATATGGGTTATATCCACTGATATTTACCATATTATAAATTAAACAAGAATACTTAAAATAGTTATTTATTAACTTATCATAATGATCTCATTTCATAACATAAGATGCATTTTATGGAAAATTACTACATTTCCCCCCACAAATAGCGAGAAGAGTGTCACTCTTTCACACTTTTGTCAATCTCTTTAACGTCTGGCCTAGTGAAGGACAGCTGGATTCTCGTTCTGCTGCTGCATTCAGGCAGCAGTGACCTCACATTGGTATAGCTCCTGGAAACCTCCACTACAGACTTGAGAGAGGAGGAGAGTGAAAAGGGCAAACAGTGTGGCTGTATTATTATAAGAAAAGCTTTGACCACATGGCCCTCCTGCAAAGGCGGTGAGGACCCTGGACCGCACATAAAGAGCGGCCGTGGTGCCCATGGAGTAGGTGGTGCCGCTTCCAAGCACAAGGAGGAGCTTGATGATATAGTAACTAATGTGTGTGGCACCTTATGGCCATCAAACCCTTTCATGTGTATTTATTCGCTGGTAAGGTTGCCACGAAGCACAGTTAAATTTGAATTTCAAATAAGCAGCAAATATTTTTAATATAAATATATCCCAAATATATAGGGCAATGGGACATACCTATACTAAAAACTACTTGTTGTTTCTCTGAAATCCAATTTAACTGGCCTTCCTATGTTTTTATTTGCTAAATCTGACACCCCTACTGGATGGGCCCTTCCTGAATACTGTTTGATTGAGAAGGGGAAACTGGGAAGCACGGAGAAGTCAATCTCCTGTCCAAGATGCCATGGGAAGAAGGCGGTAAAGCTAGTCTCACAGTTGGGCTCTGACTGCGCCCCCTCCGATCTTTCTGTGAACACCATGTATGCTCAGTCACCTGAGCCAGATGGAGGAACCAATCCCTGTGGGCTCTAAAGTCCCCTCTTTCCTCAGAAATGCAAATGTTTAAAAAGCAAAATGAGTATAAATTCTTAGTTTTTATCTGCATTCTACACCAATGTTATCTAGGAGATGTGTATTTCTACACATGCACAGTAAAATGATAAGATATTCTTACAGTATACTTATTTATAACACACTTATTGGTGAGTTTATTTAACATTGGGGAGGTTTTTAAGAAGTCTAAATTACATGAAAGAAGCACCTGACTTGATATTCAGTAAAATGCCACCAAGTCCTCCTGAGGGAAAAGTCCTCTTGTTCCACGTTTCCTAATGTCATTTGTTCTGGCTCCAGAACACACAGTCATTGCAATGGTCACAAATAAACCTCTGCTTTCTGTCTCAGTGAGAGCCAAGGCACATAAAAGTTTCATTGGAAATTCTGGATCTTCTTGGTTTGTTCCATTCCAAGAATAATTTTGCATCCCATGCACTTTTAAGGTTGTTGCACAGAAAAGTCTTCTCTTATGCACAGAGTGAGGCACATTGTCGATGATGAAGTGTGTAGGTGTTTCAGTGATGGGAACGTTGTGGTGAGGTTGTCTGAAAGAGCCTTGAACTTGACACAAAGAGCCCTGAGATCAATTCCTGGTTCTTTTCTATGACACTGGGTCAAGCACCCTCTCAAGATTGATTTGTTCATTTGCAAAATAGGGATAATGATCGTGTTCTGGCTCACCATATGAATTAGATTAAACTGAGTGCATTTGAAAGCATCTGTCCAAGGATGGGGACATATGGGAGTTTATGGGGAAACCTACCTGCTCCCTTGTTAAAACAGTACCCTGGCCCAGCCAGTGTGGCTCACTGGTTGAGTATCAACCCATGAACCAGGTGGCCATGGTTCGATTCTTGGTGCAGGCTTAATCCCCAGTGGAGGGTGTGCAGGAGGCAGTTGATCAATGATCTCTCTCATCATTGATGTCTCTCTCTTTCCCACTCCCTTTCTCTCTGAAATTAAAAAAAAAAAAAAACATATGTAAAACACACACACACACACACACACACACACACACACACACACGCAAATGCACCCTGATTTTCCAAGGTGCTGAAGAGAGAATCTGGCAGGGGTATTTGGTCTCACAGCCCCGACTCTTGTTCCCTAATTTACTATGCACCCCATACTGCTCTTTTTAACCCCTTGGGGGAGGCTCACTACAAGCTAAAGCCAAAATGTTAATTTAACAAGACTTTTGTACAGTTTGGAAATGGCTAAGGGAATTGGGCAAATAGTAAGATAGAGCTCCTTGATAAGGAGCTCTCAGAGGCACAGCCCCGTCCATCTTCCTGGGGTCCCTATACAAAGTCTGGGAGTCCTCAAGACCACCCTCGGGATAAAAAATTTGCTGGAGAGATTCACAGAACTCACTGAAAGCTATTATACTCATGGTCACAGTTTATCACAACAAAAGGATACAGAATAAAATCACCCAAGGTAAGAGATATGGGACAGAGTCCAGGAAAGTTCAAAGCATGAAACTTCCTGTTCTCCTTTCCCAATGGAATCATGGAAAGTGCTAACCTTTCCTGGTGACAGTGTGTGGCAATACACATGAAATATTGCCAAGCAGGGAACTAACCTCAGCCTTGGTGTCCAGCGTTTTCATGGGGGCTTGGTCATGTAGACTTAGTTCACTACCCATGTGGTTGACCTTTAGTCTCCAGCCCACCTGAAGGTTACATTGATACCAGGTGGCCCAACCTTCCTCCCATAAATTACTTTGTTAGACTACCCCGTGTAGCCATAGGCCCTCATGTAAACAAAAACACTCTTACTGGGCAGGAATTCCAAGGACTCAGAGATTACCTCCTAGGAACCAAGGGCAAAGGCCAGACGTCTCTTTGGTAAGGTTGATTCTTCGCTACACAGCCTTTTGTCCTGCCTTCTGGCTTACGGCGGTGCCTTTCCCACCAGCTGGGAGCTTGGCTAGATTTCACAACCCAGACCAAAAAAGTGTGCCTGAGAGAGGAAGACATTCCCATATCCTGTCCCACCAGGACTGATATTAGATCCGCCTTCTCCTCTTAAGGGATTCTCCTTCTTTCTCCACAACCGTGTGTCCCCATAGGACATTACCATCAGAACTTGAGTTTAATGTCACTGAGAGAAACACATGCACAGTAGTAGTGGGCCATTTCTTGCCCATTCTCATACTTACTTAAATGTTCATCACAAATCATTACTTACTCTCTGTTTTTAACCTAAGTCCATAGTTTTCCTTTCAAAGGTAATTAAAAAGGCTTTGGAATGCTTACAGATAGACTGAAGCTGAGACACAGTAAGTGTTACAGTAACTGAAACACCATTCATTTACATGGTGCTTCGGATTTTACCAGGCCTACTTCACTTAATGAGCACCACCACCCTGTAAGGCTTGGAAGGTAGGTTTTGTTTTCCTCATTTTAGAGATAAGAAAATTGACAGAGAGCCCAATTGACATGGCTCAGTGGTTGAGCTTCGACCTATGAACCAGGAGATCACGGTTCAATTCCCGGTCAGGGCACATGCCCGGGTTGAGGGCTCAATACCCAGTAGGGAACATGCAATCAATCAATGATTCTCTCTCATCATTGATGTTTCTCTCTCTCTCTCCTCCCTTCCTCTCTGAATTCAATAAAAATATATTTTTTAAAAAAGAAAATTCTCAGAGAGTTGAACATCTTTCCCAAAGTCATGTGGCTAACAAGTGATGAAATTTAAGACCTTCATCTCAGTTCTAGTTGTGGTCTTGTCCTTTCCACTGTGCAACCTTGAATAAAGTGGACTGATATGTCCGTGCCTCAGGGGCTACCCTGTATCAATCCGCTTTTCCCAGGTCACTGTGAATGAGCAGGAGAATGATCAGGATGACACATGTGTATTTTCAATTCTAAATGCTGGGGTAGCCAGCATGGGAGACCTGGAGTAAAGGCGTGAAAAGCAGCAGCCTTGGTGGTCCACAGTGGGAAGGCAGTGGGTGCCCAGCCATCTTCCTCCGTGACCTTGACATAGTAGATGAGCTTTCTCTTGCTTTCAGTTCTCACTGGGTATTTTCTTTCTTCCTTTATCACAGGTGCTTTTGGACTGGACAGAAGCTATATGGGAAAATCCTTAAAAGGTATGGTGTGGATTTGAGGAAGAAATACATTTATCAAAATCATAATTTAAAAAACACATCTCAGAGACTGAAATAATTTGCTACATGGTCAAGAGTGTCAGTGTAGGAAAAATGTAGACTTACTGTGGTTATTCCAGCAAACACACAAACACGTTTGACGGACATCAAGACAATGACCACGGATGGGTCAGTTAGAGCAGAAGTCGGGGGATGCAGGTTTCACTCTGCTGGGGAAACACTTATATTTCCTTAAAAGAGGTGTGGCTTATGGGGGGAGGAAAGGAAAAAGCAGGGAAAATAGGAAGAGATCAGTGTGGTTACGTGTTCATTGAGGCCTGCTCTTCAGGAAGAATTTGAGTAATAACTTCAGATGCCCAGTACTGAGGTTTTATAAGAAATCCACGCAGCACAAATGCTTTCTTCACCGTGATAATAGAACCTTCTTGTGCTCCTGGGTCCATCAGCAAATGGTTTCTCAATTGAAGCCTTTGAGAATTTGGAGACTCTTAGTAAAATACAATGGAATTCTTTTCGTTTGAGTGTGATAATCAAAATGAAATCAAATCCATGATGTTTGTATTGGTATTCACCTTAGTAATTTTATAGCAAATTCTCTCCAAAATAAGTGAACAACATTTAGTATTATTTTTAGTGTATATAATTCAGAAAACTAGCTAGAAAGAAAAACTGCCCAGCCCTGGCCAGTGTGGCTCAGCTGGTTGGAGCATCATCCCATACCCAACAGGTGGCGTGTTCAAGTCTTGTTAGGGCACATACCCAGGTTCTAGGTTTGACCCCTGGTCAGGGTATGTGTGGGAGGCAACTGATTGATGTTTCTCTCTCACAGCAATCTCTCTCTCTCTCTCTCTCTCTCTGAATAATAATAAAATTTTTAAAAATTGTCTAAGTAAATTATCACCAAGAAAAAAAATAACATTCTTCAGTACACCTGAAACCATAATAAAAATAATATTGAATGTAAACTGTAATTGCAAAATAAAATTTTAAAAATAACGTTCCTATAATATCATTTGCTTTTCCCCGCTATTTCTCTTTACAGACTTGGGAAAGAATTCTGAATATAATTCAAGTAACTGCTCCCTAAGCAGTTCTGAAAACCCATATGCCACTATTAAAGACCCACCTGTACTTATCCCTAAAAACTCGGAGTGTGGCTATGTGGAGATGAAGTCACCAGCACGGAGAGATTCCCCCTACGCAGAGATCAATAACTCAACTTCGGCCAACAAGAATGTCTATGAAGTTGGTGAGTTCTCCTAACCAAGAAAGAACCTGGTATGGGAATTTAAAAAACAAAACTTTCAAAGTCTTTGAGGATACAACAGCATTTCATACAAACCTTATTAAAAATGGCCCATATTTTAAGTGTAAGCTGTGTTTACAGTGATCATATTAATTGATGTCAAATAATTTATTCAGGGAAACACCATTTAGAAAATTTAAAGGAAGTTTTCCTTATCTCCCACCTGGTTATCCATCTTTTGTTTTGTAGCCATAGTGAATATTTTAGCCTGCATGTGGAATAGCATATGTATCATATTAGCTAATATGTCAACTTAGCCAGAACAAATGGTTTCACTAGATTAAACAGGTGGTTCCAATTCCTGGTTGCATTCATTATATTAATATAATATAATGCTTTTAGCAGGATTAAAACATTTTACTTCTAAATTTGTCTAATATATCAGTAAGAGTCTAAACTGTGAGTCTGGTACAAATTAATAAGAATTCAATTTAAAATTAGAGGTACTTTGATTGCCTCTTGCAAGTGCAATTTGGGGAAAGTTAAAACATATCAGAGCTATCATTAGCTAGATAATAGGGCTATATAATTTAATTTTTCTTACTCTCTGTCTCTGTATCAGTATTTATGATTGAAACTTTAACAAATTCTCTACTACTTGTAAATGAAGTGACTAATTTAACTCTAGTCGCTAGTAATTCATTTTATGCTGTAGACATGTCACTGAAGATATATAACTATTTTTAAAGTATTAAAACAGCTTTTTAAAATGGAAGGCATAGTGAACTAAATTGTTATAGAAAGGTCAGTAACAAGTCCCCTTTGCTCTGTCCCATAAGCTTACCACCGTAAGATTGGAACTCAACGCATGTTTCCATGAATCGAGTTAACTTCTAAGGACCTCAGTCTTCTCATCTGTAGAGTAAGGGGTTTGCACTAGATTACTTCCCAGGTTTTTCAGACAATGATTCATATCCAGGGTTTCTGTATATTCCCTTGATATCTTGACCCCAATGATACAGTCATCCTTTTGTTCCGAGCACCATTTGTGGGCATCAGTGGGTCTCCCAACCACAGAGTAACCACCTCTGTGATTATAAAAGGATCATTTGTTTTTAAAAATAATATTTTCTTATTTGACATTTGCAAGAAATTCCATTTTCAATTTATTAATTTTTTTATTGCCAATAAATTAACGTGTCCCTGGTTGTCACAGAACCTACAGTGAGTGTTGTCCAAGGAATATTCAGCAATAATGGGCATCTGACCCAGGATCCGTACGACCTTCCAAAGAACAGTCACATCCCTTGCCATTATGACCTGCTGCCAGTCCGAGACAGTTCACCCTCCCCCACGCGAGAGGACGGAGGCAGCAGCAGCAGCAGCAGTGAATGACACCAAAGGACCTTCGGTAGCCACTGGAACCCTTTCCAGAACTGCAGTTTGGTTCTTCTCCATCCTCACGTTGCCACCTTATGGGAATGTTAATCTACTTGGTAGGCAATTGCTGGGCGTAACCCAGAAAGCTCAAAGCTGAGGCTGACGGACGGTAGGTCCCTGGGTACGGGTGGCTGGGCAGGAGATACCATGTGATTTTCCATTCTTGTTAGTTTTAGAACTGCAACCCTGAAGCATGACTTCCTGTAAAATCTTGGCTATGAGCATGAACTTGCAGAACTCCTTCAGCGATGTGGGCTGCAGTGGACATTGGTATGATTGTTTGAAAAACTAAAGTTTAAAGATTTTTTTTCTCATTCGCATTGTAGACCTGTACCTAGGATTGTGCAGTTTGCCATAAAATTTAGTGTGAATCACTAAATATGTAGAAGAAAAGGGGCATATTATTGAGTCCTGATTATTTGGGTGTGTGTGGTTTGTTTTTTTGCAGTTGGACTCAGAATTGTAGGGGTAACATGAACCCAGGAGAAAACATTCTGTGAAGTGGCATAACTGGATAGACTGAATAAAACCCTAGCAGAAGTAGAAAATTTAAATATGAGAACTTTAGACTTTTTTAAGAATGAAGAAATGTACACTTAGAATTATTTTAGACACACTAGAGTTATTACAGGAGCCAATATGTACTAGGCAGAGGCGATTTTTCTCCCTGTTTGACCCACAGCCCACTTTACATCCATGACGTTATTCTGATCACTGTCCCCATCATACACATTTACCACTTGAGATCCATAACATATCAGTAATTATTTCATAAATATGGAAATGGAATAGTTTTATTTTTAAAAGACTGGATTGAATGAGTGTATAATGAATGATTGGAAAAGGTTGTAAATTTTAAGTGTACAAAGACACTTAAGTTTTATAAACCATTAGTAATACATGCTGTAATATAGAATTAGCAAAAAGTTTTTATTAATTTTCCCTAGAAGTGACTGAAATGTTTTTGTGCGTATTTGAGGAAAGGGCACTTTTCTTTTATTAATTGTTGATTTAGAGAAACTATGCTTAAGCTGGTCTTTTGCATTGCTAATATGACATGTATCCCATTTTTCTTTAATTTGTATTTTCATTTTTAAGTTGTATATTCTACATTTTGTAGTGTTTGAATTGTTAATGAAAAAATATTATATGTCTGTTGTTTCTTGTATTGTTGCCACTTATCTTTTTGCTTGATAAAAATGCATTGTTCTTTTTTTCTTTCAGAGGGAGGAGATAGAAATATATAAATCAAATATATTAAAAATTGGTCATTACTAAAATAGTACAAAACCATAGGTGACTGACTTATAATTGAAATAGACAAGGTTTTCAATATTCTGAAATGGAGTTCCTTTGGTCTGTGGGTTCTGAGTCTTGGTTAAACCAGGGGGGCTATTGTTCCTGAGTGCATGCCACAAACTGCTCTGATTAACACCTTCACTAGGGTGATCGTATAATTGATCATCCAAACTGGGACACTTTTGAGAGTAAATGCAGACATTATCGATGATTATCCTGCAATGGGCTTCAATCTGGACTGCTCCAGGCAAACCAGAACAGATGCTCATCCAGTGCATACTGACCATGCAATAACATTCTCACCCCCAAATGCCAGTGTAATGCCAGAAAGCTAGTTTCTCTTTCTTGGACCTACGTGAGCAAGCCGAAGGGCTGGAAGGCTGAAAGCGGAAGCAGCTTCACAAGAGAACACAGTGGTCTTCAATCTTAAAGACACCCTGTGTGGTGTCCTGTCTCAGGGAGTCAATTAACAAATATATATTGTACACTTGTTCTGCCAGTAGTACCCATGTGGCATTGCCCCCGCCAGTCACTGAGTTGGGATATCCAGTGACTTCATGTCATACACCTGCACCTGCGATGGCGGTTTGGTCAGATGGATGATAGAACAAACATACTTAGAGCATTTACTCCTTTGGTGGCTCTTCCTTTTAGGGAACCCCAAAGTTAGTTCAAGGAAATGTGGGCTTGCCTGGAATACACCTTAGAAAGAATTGATTTATTCCCACAGTTAACCACTGCCTGACTCTTGCTCGATGATAGTGAGTAGGCACCTATTGGAGGCGCTTGTTAGTCAATAGCCATAAAGAGTCCTTATTGGTAAGAAAAAAGTGACATTTCCTCCTCCCCCCCTTTCTTTTTTTAAGGATCATCTCTTCAAATTTCCATGGTAAGTTTGAGTTTTCCCATTACTCCCTGAAGATAAGTAAAAGAAAAAAAAATACCTATTTCTTTTCTCATTCCGCTATAGGAAGAGGGGAGGGGAGGGTATACTGACGCTAAAACTCATTCACATATGCATGCCACACAATTATCACATTGGTAATAAAAAAGGGTTCCTAGATTTCCCTGACCATTGATTTTATCATAGGCATGTTCTTGTGGTGTTAATCTTAGCTGCTTATTTTGAATTTGTGCACTTCTCAATTTAAAACCATGATACATTTTAGAAGTTTCATATGTTCTGTGTACTGCAATCACAGAAGTAAAAAGTCTAGGACTTCCAAGAACCAAATTTGTAAATATAAACTCAAAACGAATACTGTTACATTTTGTTAGTATACAAAGCGCTTCAGTTTGGCCTCGTCATTTAGAGTTAGCAGTCCTTGTCGTCACATTCAATGTGCAGCTGTAACCGATAGAAAGATTGACTCTGGGTAATGCCACAGAGTGCCCTAGAATTCTTAAATTCGTTGCTGAGAGTCTACCTCCCTCCCCATTGTTTTCTTTGGTGTCTTCAATTGAATCTAAACAATAAAGACTTCTCCAGGCCTTGTTTTCGTTTGTTGCGAGGACACCTGGAAGCAGACATCCTGGTCTTCCCAAGGCACGCCCAGCACTGACGTGGAGACCAAGGCCCGTGGTGGGCCCTCCCCACAGAAGTGGAGCTAAGGTTAAATTTTGTAAAATAATGAATTTTCTATCTCTGGGTAACGTCTTTATTATTCAAAATAAGTATTTAAGAGGTATTTTGGTCTTCAAGGCTTTATGTCATGGAAGTGTACATAGATATGCAAGTGTGAATCACATGGTGTGGCTGGGTAATTGTTTATTAATTAAAGATGTTTACTGCCCTTTAAGGTCCTCTTCCAATTAGTATCCGAACACTGGGTCTGCTTATTCCAATTTAGTATTTAGTCCAGGCTTCATTATGATGTAAGCAAATAGCAATATAATTTTTTAAAGGAAAAAAATGAGACTATATTAAGTTTTCTTGATTTTAGTAAACAAAACAAAAGAATGCTTTCAATGTTAAAATATCTCTTCTCCAAAGATGATAAACTTTCATCAGCATTAGCCTCCATCGCCATTTATATCATCAAAATGTGTTATAGATGAATGCAATAAACTTTCTAATACAAAAACTATAAAGTTGTGTTTATTTCTATGTTTCATTCCATTACTAATTAAAGAGAAGAAAAAAACTTACGATCTTACTGGAAAAATTAATATTTTTTCATGTGTGGACTCATAGCACTTCATATATACACTAGAGGCCCAGTGCACGATCTGGGCCGGGGAGAGATGTGGGAGATTGGCCATCAGGGGAGGGACCGTGGGAGAGACCGCAGGAGGGCTCTAGGGCCCAGCCCATATTGCTCAGTACCAATCTGCCGGACCCCAGCAACAATCTAACCTACCAGTCAGAGTGTCTGTCCCCTGGTGGTCAGTGCAGTCATAGCGAGTGGTTGAGCGGTCTTAGCATATCATTAGCATATTACGCTTTGATTGGTTGAACTGAATGGACAACTGGACACATAGTATATTAGGCTTTTATTATATAGGATTTAAAAAACAGGTATACTTTATAATATTTAATTGCTCATGTATCTGCTTTCCCTTCAGAATTCTTGTTCTTAAAGGACAGAGGATCATATTTGGATCCCTGGAACCCAAGTCAGTGACTGATAGGTCTTCTGGAAATAGCTTTAGGTTATCTTATATGGATTTGCTTTTTAAATCTCAGTAGCCTATTAACATTTTCTTTTATGATTAAAACATTTCTGAAACACTCACTTTATCACATCAAATATGAATAAAACATTTCTTCTCTTAATATCTGTTTATTTACTGAGGGCCTGAGTGCCAAGCACAGTAGGGGATATTCAGGAATTACCTTAACTTTTCAAGATGTGATAATGGCTGAGTAGTTACTTATTTTTTTAAAGCTACTCATCAGGGGTTATTTAGGTGGGAAACAACTTGCTTTGGAAGTATGGCATTATCCCGGCCCAGCCCTCCCGCACCGTGGACGCCTCTCCCGCTCGCCAGGCCCTCGAAAGCACCCTGCACATGGAGGCGTGGGCAGTGCTTGCCGCTGCCCTTCTGCTCTGCCCACCTAGCACCGCGGCCTGAGGACTCTCAGCCCCGCCCCGCCCTCATTACCCAAGGTGCCCCGAGCGCTCATTTGCATGTCCCCGACAGGTGACACCCGCAGCTCAATCGCAGCAGCCTAGCTATCACCGCGACCAACACGTGAGCCTCGGGAGGGGATCCCGTGACATCAAATTCCCCTCACCGTTCCGAAGTCACGGCCAAAGGACGTGACCCAGTCACCATAAACTAAAAGTAGTGAGATCCCCTGGCCTTTAAATACCTGGCAGGCGGAACTAGCGTCGTTCTTTTTTTGGTAGCACATATAATAAAATTGGAAGCATACGGAGAGGATTAGCATGGCCCCTGCGAAAGGATGACAGGCAAATTCGTGAAGTGTCCCGTATTTTGCACCGCGGTCTCGTGGGCTGGGAAAAGGTATGAGTCAAAGCACACTGTGTGGCACTCAACGAAATCGTGACTTTTGCGCAAAAAAGATATCCGTGTAAGGCACTCTGTGAACTGAAAGCAATGCTCAGGTCTTTGCAGTGGGGTATTTGTGCTGATATGTTACCTTGCGTTTCCTTCATAAGCCTCAGACTTTATGAAGTGGATTGATCTATGGTTTGTCTCGCCAATGACACAAACTCTGGAGGCCAACGTAGGTTGGTAGTTGTCCTCTACAATGTAAGAATAACAACAATCCCAATGTTGTTCGGTGAATTCTTATCAAATCATTTCTGAATTATTGAGTTACTAAATGATTGCTAAAATCATGAATGCTTACTAAAAGAAGTAAGCAACATCAGTGCTCATTTGTTGTGTCTAGTTGGACGTTGTTCAGCCGCGTTGGACCTGAATCCTACGCCCTGTCTCAGACTGCGGGCTGTGCAAAGGCTGAGGCTGCTGTCAAGGGGTGATTACAGCGGGTGAGAGCAATGCTGGCCGGTGCTCCTGGACCTCAGAGTTTCAGGACAATTGGAAACTGGCTGGAAGCAGCAGGCCCATTTGGATCTGCTTTCACAAGTATTCCTGAGGCCGGTTTTGTGGGCCTGTTTACACTGACCTTAAAGGAGCTCTCAGAAATGCCGGTTTGCCTAAAACGGACGGATTCTGTGATGGAAAATTTGATCAGAAAGTTTATTGCCCAAACAAGGACTCAGAAGCAAGTACGTACCAGGATCATTTGGTAATTAAAATCTATCTTGGTGGCCATGAAGATGGCAGAAGGCGGCTGAGGTACGCTAGCCCCTCAAAGAGGCAAAGACTAGGTGTGAGTCCCGGAAGGCCCAGAGCAGGGTGCCAAAAATATGGAATGCTTCACGAATTTGCGTGTCATCCTTGCGCAGGGGCCATGCTAATCTTCTCTGTATCGTTCCAATTTTAGTATATGTGCTGCCGAAGCGAGCACGCTACTGCTGCCGCCCGCCAGGTATTTAAGGCCGGGCGATCTCACTACTTTTAGCTTACGGTGACTGGGTCGCGTCCTTTAGCGGTGACCTCGGAACGGTGAGGGGAATTTAATACCACGGGATCCCTTCCCGAGGCTCACGTGTTGGTCGCGGTGATAGCTAGGCTGCTCCGACTGAGCTGCGGAGGTCACCTGTCCCAAGGGACATGCAAATGAGCGCCCGGGGCACCTTGGGTAATGAGCGCGAGGCGGGGCTGAGAGTCGTCAGGCGGTGGCGCTGGGTGGGCGGAGCAGGCGGGCAGCGGCGAGCACCTCCCACGCCTCCGCGCGCGGCGTTTTCGAGGGCCCAGCGAGCGGGAGAGGCTCGGTCCTGGAGGCGTCCGCGGTGCGGGAGGGCTGGGCCAGGACAATGCCGTACTTCCAAAGCAAGTTGTTTCCCACTCAAATATCCTCTCATGAATATCTGAAAAATAGAAGTACTTACTCAGCCATTATCACACCTTGAAAAGTTAAGGTAATTCCTGAATGTCACCTAATATTCACTGTACGTGCAAATTTCTTTGTTTCAAAGATGCCTTTTATTGTTGTTTTGCCGAGGATCCAAGCGAGGTCCCGTTTACCGCATTGTACGTGGTTACTTCGTCCTTTGGGTGTCTCATTCTCCCAGGGCACCCTCCCCATCGCTCTGCCTGCCCTAGTGGGGAAGCTGGATGTTGGCCCCGTGGGGCGTCACAGTTCTTGCATTTGGCCCACTTCTTACTGATAATGTCTCTCCCTCCATCTTACATGTTCCTCGGGAAGTCATAGGTCTAAGTGCCCAGCGAGAGCCTGGGTGAGTGTTGTGGGCCTGGCCTGCGGTTCATTGCTGCGGCGCGTCCCAGCGTGACCTGGCGATGTCCGGCTGAACCGGGGGTTCAGGGGAGGTCCCCCGCTGACCCCTCCGCTACAAATAAGCTTCTCCTAAGTGTTTCACCGAATGAGTTTAGAATGCACGCTGGACGGGGCCGCTAGAACTGGTTGACTTTTAACCCTTGGCTCCTGTGCTTTAACGATGCAAACTACAGGCACCTGGTGTCCGAGTTCTGTGCCAGGAGGAAGAAAACGGAGAAAACAGACCCGGAAAGGAAATGAGGGAAGAGTGCTGATGCGGTTTGAGTCTCTGGATCTTGCGTCCCAGTCCACAGTTTGGTTACAGGAGCTAACGTCTGTCTCCTTCCTGCTGCAGTGGTTCTCGTCCTTCCTAATGCCCGGACCTTGTAATACAGTTCCTCCTGTTGTGGTGACCCCCCCCCCACCCCCCAATTTCATTGTTACAAATTGAACATAATTAAAGCATAGTGATGAATCACAAAACAATACGTAATTAAATATGTGTTTGCCGATGGTCTTAGGCGACCCCCAAAGGGGTCGCGACCCACAGGTTGAAAACCGCTGTAAGAGGTTCTTCTGCAGCCTCTTCATGTTGGCCCTGAGTGCTGGCTCTCCACCCACCCCTCTCACCAGGGCTACCCTTCAGCTGCATTTATTTGTGTCGAATCAAGCTGGGTGGGTAAGAAAATAGCTCCACCTACCCTCATCTCCGAATGTAGGCTGGTGTTTCTTTTCTGGGTATTCTCTGAATGTTTTCTTGTCCGGCTATGCATTTATTGAAAGCCCCATCTAGGACAATGTGCTAGAGGCATTAAGATTTAACATCTTGGATTTCCTTATTCTGTTCTCTCCTTGCTATTGCACAGCTGTCTTTTCCTCCTGTTTCTTCTTTCCCCCAATCTGCACATCCCCCATGTACGTTGCATACTTCACTAACTGAACACATACATTTACCCAGCTCACTGTATGCCTGTCACTAAGCTCACGTCTTCCCCACCATACACTTGCATCGTTAAAACACTATTGACTTCTGCTAAACTAAACAATATTTAGGATTACGTATTTGCACTTTGACAAAAACAATTCTTGGTCTTATCACTGCTTAATTATATGTGAACCTCCAGTCGTTTTTTAGAGGGAGCTAGTGTATGAATTCATTTGGAAGTCACATGCAAAAATTATGTTAGTTGCCTTTCAGTTAATCTTTTGTATTCTGAGTTAAGCTTTTTTATATTCTGGAACATTTGGACTCTATACCAATAAATGTTGTCATAATAATTCCTAGATGGGGCTTTCAATAAATGCATAGCCCGGCAAGACAACATTCAGAAAATACCCAAGGAACATGTAAGATAGAGAAGTTAAATGACATTATCAGTAAGAAATGGGCCAAATGCAAGAACTGTGACGCCCCACGGGGCAAATACAGTGGGGCCTTGACTTATGAGTGTCCGACTAACGAGTTTTTCGAGATAAGAGCCGTCTCTAGGCTGACTTTCTGCTTTGAGTTGCGAGCTAAAATTCGGGCTTCGAGCCAGCTTCAGATACCCCACCACTGGTTGGCACAGCGAACGTCACAGTGAACGCCACAACATCAGCCCAGCATCACGTGTCTCACTCATTCACTTTAATGATTTGACATACGAGTAATTTGAGTTATGAGCTCCATCACGGAACGAATTAAACTCGTAAGTCAAGGCCCCACTGTATATTGTAGGACCAGAGGACGTTTCCTGGAACTGAAAGTAATGATTTGCCAATTAAACTCTGTGGGCTGCTCTAAGGTGGCACTCTAGTTCTCTTACTAAAATCCATGGCCTCGTCTTTGCCTTAGTTTCAGCTTGGTGATCCCAGTGGCCTGTGGGTCAGTGTTTAACCTCCAGCTGTCTGAAAAATAATTCAAGGCACTGATCTGTATGTAGCACTTTCTCATTTCCATGAGTAAGTCCTCCCACCAGGGCCCAGGTGAAGCTACAACAAGACATCACTGGATGGTTAGGGAGGGATGCTCAGTAGCACACCATTATATGGTTTCTTCACAACATAGACACGATAACTGTAAATACCATCAAGGACATAACTAATAGTAAAAGGTAGTAAAATAATTAAAATTGGTGAATTTTAAGCACAACTTTTTAAATTATACCTTACTGAATTGTAAACATAAATACTTTAATTTTAATAATGACTGTGCTGGCTCACAGAATTCCTGAAGTTTTCACAGTTGGCTTTCAACAAGCCCATATGAGGTGCTTCAGCACCTCCCTGTGTTTGTGTAACCCTGATTTCCGGTTGTCCAAGCAGGGACCATGATCTCAAGCCACTGACATTAATTCACAGAAGGGGCTCGCAGTGTATTTCCTCCTGCCTTTTAGTTTTACATCCAGAGAAACTTGGCCCATTAGGTTTATACATTCACGTGAGCATTTATTTACTGAAAATACTGTGAGCTGTGTCTTCTCAAATGTATACATTTCTGATGGACTCATTTTACCAGAAAACGGTGATAGGAACTAGATTATTTCTTTCTTAAAAGATCCTCAGACTAATTTGGCCTTGAAGGAGTGCTCCTTCTTAGTGGCTTTCCCGAGAAGCATTGAATTACAGTGGTTCTCAACCGTCCTAATGCCGCAACCCTTTAATACAGTTCCTCATGTTGTGGTGACCCCCAACCATAAAATTATGTTCGTTGCTACTTCATAACTGTAATTTTGCTACTGTTATGAATCATAATGTAAATATCTGATATGCAGGATGTATTTTCATTGTTACAAATTGAACATAATTAAAGCATAGTGATGAATCACAAAAACAATATGTAATTATATATGTGTTTTCCTATGGTCTTAAACAACCCCTGTGAAAGGGTCGTTCGACCCCCAGAGGGGTCGTGACCCACAGATTGAGAACCGCTGAATTAGAAAATGACTTCACTCAAGGGTCCTGGCTCCTTATGCTATATAAATTCTTAGCATGACGATTTATTTAGGAGTTACCATTCAGAAAAAAATACACTTATGCACAAAGCTATTTAATGATGCCATTGCTTATCACTATACACAGAGTTCCTTAACTTTGTAATAGAACCCACTTGAGACTTTTCCCAGGATGAATGCCCAACTAACAGAGA